TTCCATGTGTCTTCCCATCAGCTTTAATGAAATTCCCTTTTCTGCCGCATGATGTTGACATCACCATGTTTCACACTGGGGATAGTACGTCCAAGGTGTATAATGCACCGCATTAGTTTTACAAAACACTATTTGTTTTGCATGCAGACAGAAACAGAAGCTCCCTACATGACTTGTGTAGAACTTCAGACTTGACTCCTTGGAAAAAAAATGTGTTCCACTAATAACGCTCATAAATTTTCCAACAAGTTCTTAAACTTTGCAGCTTCCGCTGGCCTCTTGACCAGCTCTTTATTGCACTTCTTTTCTAGCCTGCCAGTTCACATGGGCAACCGTGTCATGGTAGGTTTGCAAGTGTATGAAATTCTTATAACTTGGAATAAATTAAAACTACAATAAACAGATCAGATACACACAATTACATTATTCTGTATTCTAATTTGGTGACTTCTATAGGTTGCACAGAGTAAAACCATGCATCTTTTCAAACACAGTTATTTGCCACATTGTATGCTGAGTATTGAATATTGTGCTATTTGTTGCTGCAACGTGGTAAAATGTTGAAGAGTTTATGAAATATACTTTCATAAGGCACTCTGCATAACCCATTTATGTAGAAATTAATCTATTGAGAGAACTGACTACTGATTAATCTTGCACATCTCTATTCTTCTTACAAAATTACAGCTTATTGAAGCAGAGTGTATTAGGGGAAGATGTATGTGCGTTTTCTGCTTAACTGCCAATGTCATGCTAAGCTGCTCTACTTTTCAGTTAAAAATATTGAGGCTTTCGGGTCATTTGGCTCAGACAAGAGGAAGTGCAGATGGTCCACCCCATTGCCAGAAAAAGAATAATGAACTTTGTTTAAAACTGGCCAGAGAACTGTACACACCCCAGTGTAAATAACCACGGGTTTGTGATGTAAAATAGAGACCACTACACATAGTCACAATTTGTTTTCCCACTGTTAAAATGAGATACAGCAGGTAAATGAAATATTGAATGCTTCACAATTTTTCTTGTTTAAAATATTTCAAAAGGGACCAGTAATCCAAACATGCAAGGAAATTTAATCAGATTACTCCACAAATGAAGTTTGGGTTAAATAAATTATATGATACTGGGGGAAAGTATTGAACACATCCAGAAAATGATATGTACGATGGCAAAGAAAGTTAGGAAATGTTTCTAAATGTGTTTGTGTTTAGAAAGCATATGTGCTGATACATGCAAATCAATTTCAGATTTCATAATAACTAATTACCGGTAAGGTTTCTCATTACCACAGTACTGCACAAAGTGGTGAGATTGGTAAAAGCCAACAACCTTCACAAAAAAATTAATGTTACTAATAGGGCAATGATTACAACTTTTACATTTCTAAACTTCTGAATATTCCAGTCAGCACATATGCAGCAGTAATTTCACTATTAACAAGTCATGACAAAGTGACTTTCATAAAATGGTTGACAGAGGGGTCAAAAAAATTATCAAAAGAGTTATGCAAGAACCACGGAACACTCGCAAGATGCTCCAGGAAATTCTGGAAATATAAGGTACAGGGATTCCCATGAAAACACGAAGTAACGCAATCAAACAAACACTCACTGCACAGGACCCCACTGATGAAGAAAATACATGTTGAACTTATGGAAGCTAGTACAATACTGAGAAATACTGGGAAAATAATCTGTTCAGATGAGGAGAAAGAAACTCCTATGCTATCATTTTGCACACAATCCCCACATGACATGCCAAAGGTGAAGTTTGCAGCTGAGAACAAGTATTGTGTGGGCTGTCCTACACAACATGGCACTCCCATAATCCACATATTTAAAGGGTAGGATGAAAGAAGAAATGTACTGATTTCCAATGAAAAAGTCCCAAACACGGCCAAGGGAGTAGTGGGAAGATGAAACAGGAAAGAAACAGTGTGACTGAAAACAAAGAGGGGAGAAAGAAGAAGGATTAGTGAATAATTCTCTTACTCAAACATTGTCCCCAAAGAAATACTGAGAATTTTTATTTGTAAAAAAATCAATAAATGAAAAATGTGAAAAATTTGGACGTCTCAGTGTGTTAGATCAACATTTTTCCTTTGTATTTCCATCATCAAGTTGTTGTTCAAGCCAGATGGTTAAGTGTTTTGTTTGTGTTTTGTTTGAACAAAGGAATCAGCTCCGCCGAGTGTGTATCTATGAGAGGAAGTGAAGCCACCGTGTTTCACAGCGAGTCTCTCCCGATGCTGCCAGACACACTTGTCATGCCATATTGTGCGCTGCCAGGTATTTTTCCTGCTCTCTATAACTTTCCCATCCCACTCCTGCCTAATCAGTTTTAATTGACTTTAATTAGCATCTAGTAATTAATTTTGTTTTCTACAATTTATTTGTGTGACTGATCCCAGTGGGTGGTCTTGTTCAGCTCGTTAGGGCCAATTAGCTGCAATTAACAAACACTAATGACGTGCCTCTTTTCATTCCAAAACAAACAGTGCACACCCTGCCAGATTCCAGCACTGCAAAGAGGCCTTTTTGGTGTGAGGAGGGTGGGGCTTTGCTGAGACACACGTTTACTCATCAAGGAGGTCCAACTTGTGTGCTTTGTGTGGAATAAGTTTCTCACTTTAGCTTCTTTTTTTTTTTTTTTATTGTCGTCACATGCGATATCTCCAAGTAGGTTTCCAAACACAATGGAGCTAAGAGAGATTTAGTTGGATCTGGGTTTTTTGTGTGCTGTGATTTTCTTATACCCTGATGTCTTATCAGACACTGATTAAAAAGAGCTGAGCAAGCTTGAATGTGAAACCCCACTATAAGATCTCTTATCCAGAGCAGAGAAAAGGCTACTAATAACATGCATATCGTCTTTCTTAGGATTAAAAAAAAAAATACCTGGTTTATTCTGCTGTGAAGAAATACGAAAAGATTTCAAGCAACAGCTCCTTTTTTTTTCTTTTTCAACATTGTTCAACTTTTCTTCTTTATCAAACAAGTCTGATCAGTTGAGCATTATGATAACGCATTCTTAAAATGAATGTGAAAAACTGTTCTTCCTGCAATGAGACAGACAACTGATATTTCTGTCAGTCTCATAAATGAATGAATGGATATATAAATAAATTGATGAAAGAGTGCAGTCTAATTAAAATTTCTGAATAATCAACAGCCTTATCTTTTATTTATTTTTTTTTATTTTTTTTTTTTTAAAGGCTAAATTTCAGAGTTGCTGTCTGTGGTGCATGATTGGCAGGGAACATATTGATATAAATAATAAGAGTAATATTGATTCCAAAAACTATTAAGTTGACAATCAAATTCCTGTGTTAATTCAAAATGTTGTACTTTGTTTTAAGCTGTGTTTTCAGTGTGTTTCATGACTATTATGTTCAAATATTTGAGTTTAGAGTGAATCAACATCTCTTTATCCAACTGACAAGGTTCTAATTAATGGACGTAAACAGATTAAAACAATAGAATGTTGTAATTGAAATACTTTTAGGCAGAAAATGGGACTGGAGATCCTGGAACAAATGTTATTCTGCAATCTGTTTCTGCGCCAAAATGATCAACACGAAAGTGATATGGATAAACAAAACAAAACAAAAAACATTTTAAAATATCAGGGAAAAGCTATAACTATCTTATCTGTTTTCTGTTTTTAACTCAAAAAAAAAAAAAAAAAAAAAACATTTCGCATTCGGGCTTTTTAATTTCCCCACAGTTCCCCCTGCTGCCTGCCGGGACCTGCAGCTATCGGAGTCGAACAGAGCTGGGAGCCTGGGAGGGGGAAGTGCGCTATCTGCGTCCCCATGTGCACCAACATGATCCGATAAGATCTATAAGAGACGGCCTATCGCCTCAGATTATAACCATTAGTGAATCTCGTCCTTTCAGAGAAATGAAGAATAATGCCAGACCACAACATTAATCTATCTGTCCTCTCCTAGGCTGAAGGGACAACAGACCTGCTGATCATCAGTCAGCTGCCACCACTTCCAGGCTCTTTTCCAAGGAGAGCATATTCATGACATCATCATTGACTCTCAGGATGAAATTATTATTGTTTCTAAAACTAACATTTACATGAACAAAAATAATAATAATGTTTCTAAAACTAGAGTTCCCTCAGCCAGAAGAAAAGCTATAAAATCGAAGTTTACGAGTATTATTTTTAAAACAGACTACTGGATTTTATTTAACTAGTAGTGCGTGTGTACATAGCAAGAACTTATTTGTGAAAATAGCAGGCTACTGAAATAGTCATAAGGTGGCACGTGAACTGTTTTCCTGACAATCACAGCTAAACTTTAGGATTAAGAAGCTGCTTATTAGCAACTCTGACATCATCTTTAAACAATTAAAGATGATGCAAACGTTTTGAATTTGTTATAACGAGCTGACATGTGAACAGCTTACCGGACAATTAGCCACAGCTAACTTGTGCTGTTTATTGGAAATGACTGTCTCAAGGTTGACAAGTTTAAGTTTAGCATTAGAGCTATTGCTAAGGCTGGTTACAAACTTAGATTTCTACCCCAACACACAAACGTTCACAACCAAAAAAAAAAAAAAAACTAATAAGTTTTATTAACTTTTTACTATTTTTTTTATTCATAACACCTCCCACGTAAACATATTAACCTTACTTTGCTCACTTTGCTCTCTTGGACACTTAATGAATTAAGCTAACACCTGGCTAAATAAACATCTGCTCGATTTAGGCGAGAAGTATATGAAGTAGGTTATGTTTTTTTTTTAATCTTTTAATAAACATTATATTTACAAACTAATATATATATATATATTTACTAAAATGTCAAATATTTGAAAATAATAAAAATTTATTTTTATAGTGTAACTCATCTAGACTTATTTTTTTATTTTTTTTTTTTTTTTTACTTTTTTTTTAAGACTACGGGCAATTTTGTAGTATTATCACTATGTTTTTATTTGTTGTAATGAAGTGTTGGGGTGAAACAAAAACAGAAATGACTCCTCATAGGTTTCTCGCGGTGATGACGTAGGCTGTTCCTTTTTAGGCAATAGGCTGAGCGGCACAAGGTGAGCTCATTACAGCCTTCCTCTCAGGCTCAGAGCTCATCAGAGAAAAAGCGGAGCACAAACGACGAGGCAAAGCGCTCCGACTGCTGCTCAACATTATTTATCTCGTCTACAGACGACACTGGGGATATCTTGTCACCTTTTATCACTATTGTTTTTAATTCAACCTCTTCCCTGTGCTTTTCGATACAATGGCAAACACTGGAAGATCCTGCCGGGCCCACTTTGATTCCCAATAAACAATTTGATCACAGAAATGCTTCTTTATACGTGATGCAAACCATGTTTCGTTTGGAGCCGATGTCTGGATGTGGATTACAGGAGCCCCGCAAACGGATGGTGATGTAGCCTGGTCTTTCAGAGCAGCTTGGACCCAGTGGATTTCCCTGATCCGACATCAGAACACTCGGACGATCGAAGATTGTTGCGGGAGGAGTGCGGGGGGTGTCGGGAGGACACAACTAGTGAAATTCTAATCAGCTGGACCGGGACAATGCTACACTGTGCCGACTGTGAGAAACCTATTCTGGACAGGTTCCTGCTCAAAGTTTTGGACAGACCGTGGCACATCAAGTGTGTCCAGTGCTGCGAATGCAAATGTAGTCTGACAGAGAAGTGCTTCTCTAGGGATGGGAGATTGTATTGTAAGAATGACTTCTTTAGGTAAGCCTCCTCCAACACGTTGATTTCTTCAATTCAAGAAGAAGGAAAGGCATTTTTTTTCTTTTGTTTTACTTTTTTTTTTTAGATTTATTTAGATTTATTATTTTTTTAGATAAACTGAAACATTAGACAATTGAGAATTTCCCCCAATAAACTAAAAAAAGTGAAAAGTTGATTAAATGGATAAGTGATTGGAAAATACTGTATCACAATGCTTTATACTTTTTTCAGCATTTATTATTATTATTATTATTATTATTATTATTATTATTATTATTATTATTATTTGTTTGAATGTTGTTTTCTGATAAGAATCGAGTGGAAATTTTAATAAACATTGGGCCTGACAATTATTGTGCTCATATAACTAAATGCAACTAAATATAGTTTTACCATATTGTTGGAAAAACTAAGGCTATTTGAGCTTTCGGTTATGATTATTAAAAATGTTTATTTATATATTCATATTTATTGATGAAGTTAGTCTACTGAAACTTTGTCCTGTTTTTTTTTTCCCTTCTTCCTTTTTTTTCATGATTATTATTTATTCCCTTATCTTTCCTGAACAGGAGATTTGGGACCAAGTGTGGAGGTTGCTCACAGGGGATTTTGCCCAGTGATCTTGTCCGCAGGGCCAAAAGCAAAGTGTTTCACCTCAACTGTTTCACCTGCATGATGTGTAACAAGCAGCTGTCCACCGGAGAGGAGCTGTACATCCTGGACGAGTTCAAGTTTGTCTGCAAGGAGGACTACCAGAACAACAACGGGAAGGACACGATCCTCCTGTCAGGTGAACTCATCGAATCGAACCTTATTGTTTTTTGTTTGTTTGTTTGTTTTTGATGAATATAATTTTGTTATAAATATTTTACTGCCCAATCCATATCCACTCCTATAACTGTTCCCTTTCCGGACAGTCACGACGTGCAGCGACCCGAGCCTCTCACCGGACTCGCAGGACCCGCAGGACGACGGGAAGGACTCGGAGGGCGGACACGCGTCCGACAAGGAGGCGTGCGGCAACGACAACGACGAGCAGAGCGCCGTCGGCAAGCGGCGCGGGCCCCGGACCACCATCAAGGCCAAGCAGCTGGAGACGCTGAAGGCTGCGTTCGCGGCCACGCCGAAGCCCACCAGGCACATCCGGGAGCAGCTGTCCCGGGAGACCGGCCTCAACATGAGGGTGATCCAGGTGAGGAGGCGGCCATGCTCTCGGGATAACAGCAGGAATCATTAAATAAATAAATAAATAAATAAATAAAGTTGTCTAAAAACCCAGAGTTTGGTGTGACAAAGTTCGGAAGAGTATTTGGGTTCAAACTAGATTAAACATCATAGTGCTGGCCTTTATTTGTTTTTTTGTTTGTTGTTGTTTTTTTTATTATTATTATTATTTCTGCATTCTGCAGCTTTTCCTTTATTTCGTCCCCCCTCCCCCCCAATCAAAATACTTCACAATATTCTTGGCTTATCTCTTTCTCTCCAACACTCATAAAACAAACTGTTAGAATTCAACCAATAAGATCCGAGAAGCAATTTGCATATTTTAATTGGCATAGTTTTCTAAGAAATACATACACGTCTGAGTTGTGATTATGTAAGCTTGTGATCAAATGAACAAGCAAATGAATAATAATTATTTAGATTTTGGCTGTTCTTCACTATTTAAAAGAAACCAAAAATAAGAATTGGTTTGTGATTAAGGCTTAAATGTTACTGAAGTGAAGGTTTGAAATCTATCCACTGATGTTACAGTCAATGACAAGAGCTGCTAAGAATCCCAGCTTGTAAGTCTGACTTTATGCAAAGTCACACAAACGTCATTATTCTTGTTTCTATCAAAATAACTTTTTTAAGTCTGATGGCAGTCATTAGTTTTTATGGAACTCTTATATCCATTCATAATACCATTCATATTAACACATCACACTGTATATTTCTTTTTTTTTTTTTACAGTTTTTAATATCAATCATTCAAATTGTAAAAATAATATTAATAAACCAATTATAATTAGTTGATATTATAATGCCTAAATTCTACCAAGGTTTACTAAATAGTTAAAGAAGAGTGTTCCTGAAGTCTGTTGTTTAATTTGTTCTGTGTTGTTTTCAACAGATATCAGTGAGAACAGTATATTTATGCATTATAGTGAATTTTATCCACTCCATAAAGTCAGATAACTGCTATGAGACGTGGCTGAGACATTACATTTGTTGGAACACAATTCTTATTAAGCTTTAGCTTGTTTAGTGACAGCGCTGAAGTTGATGTCAAACTTGTTAGCAAGCTTGACCTCCTAGCTGTTGGGTTGGGTTTGTTTAGTTTTCAAAAACCAGATAAACAAAATCATCACAATAATTAGTTAGAGCTGAGCAGCCTCGGTTCAGTAAAATAATATTTTTTAAATTGTTCAACTTCCAAAGCTTCTGTTCAGAAACATCAATAAAACGAATAAAATGTGTCCACATTTTTACAGTAAGTTGTATTAGTGAAATTCTTCTTCATCAGTCTCTAATGGACCTTCACACAACAAATGAGAAATTGTTGACTGAGCCAAAATCTCAACCTAAACTCTAATCTAAATGTGACATATATATATATATATATATAAATTGCAAATTACACTTTATTTAACATTACCTTTTGTAATTAACTTGCTTGGATAACATTTAAGCAGTTGTTGAATGGCTAATATTTAAAAGCCTCAAGAATGCGAGTTTTCACCAACAAGAAACCTGCATGTTTTTTTCTACTACTTCCTCATTTAATATTTTCTGTTTTGTTTTGTCTGTTATTTTAAGATTTCACAATAGATTCTTGATATCAAATTAAACAGCCTTTTCGTTTGATATCAATGAAAGAGTATCTACCTATTTTATTCATTCTTCTATATTCTCTAATTAAAAGTGTTCGTTCGTGTCTCCTTGAGGTTTGGTTCCAAAACCGGAGGTCCAAAGAGCGACGCATGAAGCAGCTGAGCGCGCTGAGCGCACGGAGACACGTGTTTTTCCGGAGTCCGAGGAGAATGAGATCTCTAGGAGAGAGACTGGAACCAGGAGAGCTTGGCCATTTCTCTTATTATGGAGGTCAGATGCTCGACGGAATCATGTATTTGATAAAACGTCATAAGTTTAAAAAAAAAAAAAAAAAAACCGTTTCCAAATTGTTTTTCTCTGTGTTTTGATGCGATCCATGCGCTAATCCCACCTCTCCCAAACGCAGATTATCCGAGCGAATACTACGGCCCAGGTGGGAATTACGAATACTTCCAAGGCCCCCCTTCGTCCCAGGCTCAGACCCCCGCAGACTTGGGCTTTGTGCCCTCGACTGTCCCCGCCGGCACCCCGTTAGGAGCCATGGACCACCACCAACACGCAGGAGTGGGGCAGCACCACTGCGGCGCAGACGTGCAGTGCTTCTCGGACGGCGCGTCGCACCACCCCGCGGACTCGCCCAGCCCGGAGCCCAGCGGGCCCGGCTCCATTCACAGCATCTCCAGCGAGATGTGCGGGCCCGGCACGCCGTTCACGGCCGTGTCTCTCAGCGACAATGGATACACAAACCAGCTGTCACAGCCGTCCTCGGAACTGAGTGAAGGCACCGCCTGGTAATCCAGTTAAAACAAAGCACACTTTATTTATTTATTTATTTATTTATTTATTTATTTATTTATTAAGGCACTTTCTTTCTTTTTCTTTTTTTGGGGGGGGAGGGGGAGTGAGAGGGGGAAACAAGACACATATTAAAAAGTTTAAATGTGAACGTCTGCCAGCATTTCTCAAGTTCCAGGCCTCACAGACCAAGCAATAAGCAAAAGCAACTACAGGGAACTTTAGTTAGTTTCAGAAGTTGGGCAGCAACAGTCACCATAAAAGCAATCTTGTAATTCAACCTTATCAAAATTCAGTTTTACCAAGTCAGTCTGGCGGTTTTAAAGGACACCCAAAGGGTGTCGGGTGAGACTGGCTGAACCTACAAAACCTGCGACAAACCTTCAAATCCATGTTCAAATAAATAAATGTGATATTTGTGTTGAGAGAAAGATGTGAAGCGCTTCTATTCCCTTTGTTTACATTGCACTTTGTCTTCAGTTGATGGATAAAGAAGTTTTAGAATATTATTTTACATGACCATCTTGGAGTCTTTTGCAGCACTGTCTACTCTGAGATGTACTTGTCTGAGATTCTGACATGAACATGCATGATGTACTGTATATGTTTTATACAAACTGATTCACAGAACTTTGTCTCTTTGTATTGATGTACAATAGGATTTTATCATTTAGTGACAAATCACAAACTATGACTGTGACGTCCAATAGATCAATACAGTACGTCTCTCAGGACTGTGATCAGATTTGGTTTTTTTGTAACGTCTTTACATGTCTGCCTTCAGAATGATATCTTTGTAAGTCTGATGATTTTATATTGGTGAAGAACGATGATTTGGCTTGGACATGAGTCCAGCTGTAAGTGGAGTTATGAAGAAATATTGTAGCCTACCTACAGAACAGTAAATGGTTTTCTGAAAGCTCTGCTTGCTCGAGTGTCTGATTTCAGTGAAATGTTGTCTTTCGGTCGGAGAAACAGATTAAGACTGACATGGATCCGGTCCTGCACTTCTAGCCGTTTCAGCGCATAGTTTCAACAAACTGTCTAAAAAACAAACAAGTAAGCAATTAAAAGAGGCTTTTTTTAAAAAATTGATTAAAATAAAAACAGCTGGTTTCATGGACTTCTTTTGTACAACCACAAGTTTCCCCTACTACTGGACTAGCTTATTCCTTATTGATTATATGTAAAAAGTTTGCAAGCTACTGGTCAATTTGAGCACCACAATAATTGGCATTAATTTTATCATAAAGATGTATAAGGTCATGTCATATTTTGATGATATGACACATTAATACTCTTGGGATAGCCCAATTCATGTAGGGTTAGTGTTAGCCCTAACGCTTCATACTGAAACTACTATGGTACTGGAACTGGTCAAAATCTCTAATCTGTCTTTGATTATACAATGTTAGCTGTTTTCACAATTCTAAGAAGATTTTGTTTTCTCCAACAATTAAATTGCTAAAATTCCTATACTTCTGTTTGGTACCTCACTGTACCGAACAGAAAAAAAATAATCCTTTTTGATTGTACTCAGTGGTTAAAATACCAGCGGTTATGCTTGGTGATGAATAATTTTAAATTCGCCATCTTGTTCTCTGATGTGAACTGAAGTCATGAATATTAATATATAGTGCTATTTTACTATTTGTTATTCGATCTTGTCGCAAAGGTTCAGTGAAGTCTAATCACATTGTGGAGGTCTGTAAAGAATGATTCGTCTTTACAAGACAGTAAGAAAATAAGTAAAATTTCATTTATGCAACACCTTTTAAGATACAAAAGCAAACAATGCATAAACCCACATGAGGCATTAAGAAAAAGCAGATTTAAAAAAGATATTTTAGTCTAGCTTCTAACTCAATAAAATGATGTGCAGTTTTTTGTCCCAATGTTTGGTTGAAATTACATAAGACCAAGTGTCTGAAACCCAAAAAGGATCTCAGCATCTGTGGATGTATTTCAAGGCAACAAATCAAACAAACTGTTTTCTTGTGTGACATAATTTCATAGACAAAATAAATCAGTCAAGACATCAGGAAGAGAACTGTGGATCTCCACAAGACTGGAGTACAATTTTCCTAAGATGTTTTCAAACAGATATATGTAAAAGTCAAGAGTACGAGAATATTCAGTACCGTACTGTTCAGCAAGGAGAGATCTTCTAAGTTCTAAGGTTAGTGTTTGTTTTTTTATTTTTTGGAGTGAAAACAAACTACAACGTTGGCAAGAAGTGGTAAGAGAGTGGCTTTGCCACTGTGAAATAACTTGAAAAGAAGAAGCCATCATTACTAAAGCAACATAAAAAAGCAGATTACCATTTGCAAATACACACAAGGGTAAATTCCTTCCCTTTGGGAGACATTCCCTGTGCTCTAATTGAACTAAAATTTAAGTGTTTGGCCATAATGACCAATTGGTACAATGAGGGAAGCTTGTAAGCCTTAAAACACCATCCCAACAGCATTCATCACATTGTGTGGGTCCTTTGCTGCAAAAGAGACTAGTGCACTTCACAAAATAACGCGGAAACGTTATTCAGATTATTCAGATTCCTGTCTGATGTCACAACATCAGACAGGAAGTTCTAGCTTGTAGTTTCCGTATGGACTGAAATTTTAAGCAAAACACCAAATTTGGTTGACATTTCGGAGTGCCCGTTTCAAAGACATGATCTCACTTCCATGAGAAAAAGTCTGGGCAGAGCTGAAAAGATGCGTGAGAGCAAGGAAGCCTGCAGACCTGGCTCAGTTTTTACTAGAGCTACTTTTGTAGAAGGATACCCACAATGCCGGAATCCTTAGTTTGCGGGCGTAACCGGTTTCTAGAAGACGGCACAATGGAGCAAGTCATAGCGGAATAATTCCTTCTCTGTAATTGGAGCCAGATCCTTTTCATTCCTTAATCTAAATCTTACTTCAACTTATATTTGGCCTTTTTTGTTGTGACTGTTTCCCTTTAATTTTTTCCTTTTTTTTTTTTTTTTTTACACAATCCAATCCAGTTCAACTCCGTCTACACTTCTTGCCCTAGGCTCGGCCAGCCACTTTCTGCATGAAAATCATTCACATGTACAATTTTATAATCAATGCCCACAGTAATAGGATTCCTCTGGCCACGGGCAATTAATACAGTTTTCCCTTCTAGCCCCCCCTCCCGCCCCTTTCTCCCTCCCCGCCCTTCCTTGTGCAGATCTCAAAGCTATGAGACATTGGCTTCTGCTCATTTACATATTTATTGCATTGGACTCAAATCTGGCGAGTGATTGATGTGGAGCCTGCCTCCTGAATTTTTAGCGGCCTATTATTATGAGAGACATGGAGGGGGGGCCGCGGCACGTCAGTGTACTCCTGATTAAAGTTGAAGAGGACAGAATTATGTGTTCCCCACCTACTGTCTCTTCTGCTGGTGTTTAATCTGCGAGACCCGGGAGCAGATTTCAACCACAGATGCTGACTAGCCACTCGCTGAGGGAAAAAGCAGCCTTGCTTTGGCTTGTTAAGATTCCCATCGCTTGGTATTTATTTTTATTTTTAGGGATGTTTGGGACGCTTGCTCCACCTTATGTTGATGAGATTGTGATTTTTCCACGGCAGCGATGTGAACTGACACACAGATCCCAGTTTTGCCCGACAGATAACGTGATTGCAAGCATTGTCACCGCTAATCCATGAAATTAGCAATTTATGCCCTTTCTTCTTATAGGTTTGCCTTAAGCAGCAAACAGAGAGAGAGATCCCTCACATCTACATAAAACCAGTTCTCTGAAACATTTGCGGCTTCATTAGATGTTTTTTTTCTACTTTTATCAACTGAATCACCTAGCTATAAGACAAAGAGACAACCCAGGGAGAGACTATGCTTTTCTCATTTGCACCCAAGCATGTACTTGTTTATGTTTATGTGTATGTGTGTGGGGGGAAGCTATTCTGCTACATTGTGTGTAATGGGGTGAAAGAGCAGGACGAAGGTGCAGGAATCTGGGTTGTAGCCCACACCTCCCTCTGCTATTCTGTCACTTTAGCACAGTTTCCCCGACCTGAAGAGGATGACGTCCATCTTATTCACCGGCCCAAACGTTTATGGGAGCAATTATTTACACAGTGGACACATGAAATATTCAGGCAACATTTATGTTTCATTGTCCAAACAGAAGTTAATTTTATTGGGATTTTACACAAAGTGGTGCATGATAAAGTAGAATAAAACTGATAGGTGATGTTTTGCAGTTAAAAAAAAAAAAAAATCTAATAAAATGTGTGCGTTTGTACACAGAACCTCTGAGCTGATCATTTGTGGAACCAGCTGTTACTTTCATTCTGTTACCCTGCAACCTTGGATGGCTGAGGGTAATGTAAAAGATGATCTTCCCTCAACATGTGATGCTGTGGTATGAGAAAGACGAGACACACAAGTTGAGCTTCCTTCACATTCAACCGGCAGATTTATTCTTCTTCTGTGTTATAAACACACTTCATATACAACATACTTCAAATATCGCATACTTCAGGCATCACATACTTCAAATATCGCATACTTCAGGTAGAGAACCATTAACTTCAATACATCAGAAATGACTTCAATATATCTTTAAACCAAACAATCATTCTTTTAACATGCTCTATTTGGCATTATGAATTCTATAAATTTACCAAATTAATTCACAAATAGCTTTTACTTCTCTAAACCATATTAGTTTTGTAGTTAGTGCTTTAAATTCAATACCTTGTCTTCTTTTCTGAGACCTTTTGTATTTAACTATCAAAATAAAATATAAAAATTATATTAACATTTAAGCATTTTAGCTTTTAACAATATCCATTGTTTCAGTAGAACAATAATATTTTACATCTTGCATAGACAACTATTCTCTCAATATCAAACTGAAAAAGGCGCAATGCTTCTTTAATACTATGCCTCGGTAGTCAGTTTAACACAAAGATATAGTTTATCAAGGTTTTCAACATACCCATAAAACCAATCACATAAAATAAAATAAAGAAACCAGAACAATGTCCTTTGAGTGAGAACTCTCTCAAAAACTGCAAAATACAAGTTCAAATGAACTCCGCTGTCCTTCAGCTAGCTCCTCAGCTAGCTCACATACGTGTAGAGCCCCGCTAGCATTAGCTCCCATTAGCCTTCATGAACAAGTCTCGTTTTTGTACACCATAACAATTACAAAGCGAACTTCGCGACTCATTAGTTGAGATTCGATTTATATGAGAGGCCCGATTCTTCCAAGAAACTAATGTGTATACAACGCATTTTTACTGACCTGTGGTATGAGAAAGACGAGACACACACGTTGAGATTCCTTAACATTCAACAGGAAGATTTATTCTTCTTGTGTGCTCAATCTT